ATTAGCATAGCTTATCATACATCATTGAAGTGCACAAGACCATTAGCATTTCTCCCCAAAAAAACACCACAGTGTTTTGATGTTTTTCGTATTTAAAACTTGACTCTTCTATAGTTACATCGTGCACTAAGACAGACGGAAAATGATTTTCTAGGCTGATATGCAGGGAACTATACTCTCATTCCTGCGTAACAATCAGGAAACTTTACAGTCGTACCATGAGTGCAGCAGGCGCGATGACTACAAGGGGCAACCTCCACGTCTCTCTCTTGAAGCCAACACGGAAGTGAATTAAACATCAGTTCATCGAGTGGCCGCTTGAGGCTGGCTGCAAAAGCGAGTCAAATCTGTATCTCCCCCAAGTTAAAATGTCTAACTTCACAGCAGAAAAAAAACATGTTGACAGCCTGGTGGCAAATAGTTGTTTTGGTCTATATCTCTAATTTTACCCTTCATGACGACTGTGAGGGGGTGAATTTTTTACTACTCATCTGTTTAAATTATATTTAAGCCTTAAAGTTCTGCATAATTAAGGACGTGGCCACTTGAGTGACAGGTGGATTCTTTCCGCCGCTTTCACTGCTATAGTCGTTTGTCTGCTGTCAGTAAGCGTCGCCCTCAGCTGTGTTTGTGCTTTTTCCGGGATTATTTCATACAATTTAATACATGTATTATACCTTCGCCAGTGCACGGCGCCGTTGGATTCTGTCATGTTGAGTATGGAGAGAACAACCAGTGCTGTGTTTCCAGCTGTTTCCCTCACATGCACTAATGGATGTCTGATGATTTCAGTGCGTTCTCTCCGTCCATGCAATAGATGCACACCCTTGAATGAGCGCGGATTTTCTAGTGCACTTATTTGAACTTCTGAGGTAATATCTTTGGTTTTACCGATCTGAGAAACTGAGAGGCGGCCAAAATCATATTGTAAAATGGACTGAATTAAAGCTCTTTACGAACTTGACGTGAGATGCCGACTGACATGTGTGCTTGCCTTGAATCACTGTCACATTCACAAGCTTAGAACAATATGGTAAGTTACTAATACATTTTTAACTAGCAGAATAATAATGCATCACGATGCACATAGTTGACTGCTTGTATGAAAAATGTGTGTGATCTGTGTTATGTACTGTTGTATACATGCTCTTAACTAATTGCCCCTTGTGAGATGAATAAAGTTGATAAAAAAAAGTAAAGTAAATAATCTCACTTTTAGTTAAGTCTTAACTATTATAATATTTCGAAGGGCAAAAACATGAACTTTAACTATTGGCTTTACTTTTTCAATCAACTGTCAATTCAGCGCGAGGGCAGTAGCATAGCATTAGTACCTCAACTCCACCCGCATCCCGCATCTTTGCCCATTTTAATTTATCCGGTAGTGACGAGAGGTGACGCACTGCCAAGATGGCGACGGCCGGCCCCGCCCACTTTAGGCTTCAAAAACGCTCTTCAGAAACCTATGGGTGAAGTCACGGATACTACGTCCATATTTTTTACAGTCTATGGATGACTACACAAACTTAGTCCTGGTCACGGAAGCTGGGCACTATTTTCAGGCGCTGCGTCATATCATTACGCCTGCTACAGTCATGGTACAACAGTGAAGTTTCCTGATTATCACGCAGGAATAAGAGAAAGTCTTATCAAAAGTCATATCAGCCTAGAATATCGCAACTTTACATTTTCCGTCTGTCTCAGTGCATGATGTAACTATAGAAGAGTCAAGTTTTAAATACGAAAAATATCGAAACACTTCGGTAATTTTTTGGGAGAAATGCTAATGGTCTTGTGCACTTCAATGATGTATGCTAAGCTATGCTAAAAGTACCACCAGAATCAGAGATCGGCTGAATTGATTCAAAAAAAGGTAAAGCTCAACAGTTTAACTCTGGCCGAGTTGTAAAATAAACGTATTTCCAAAAGAAGTGGAGTATCCCTTTAATGTTAGTCAATAAAAAACTTATGTTAACAGATACAACTTTTGATTTTGATAATGTATTAAATGTTGAAATTAACATTAACTAACATTAATTGATGCTGTATTGTTCATTCTCAGTTCAACTAATGTTAACTAATGAACTTGTAAAGTGTTACCAAAAAACAAAACAAAAAAAACCAATCATGTTCAATTAACTTTTAATATCTTCTAAAAAAAGAACAAATATCTGAATTTATGAAACTATTTTTAAGACTTGCCCTTCCACACAACTGTGGGACGTTTGCGATTATACATCTATAACAATAAAAACTCAGACATTGGGTTAAATATTTTATTAAAAAATGTATCCCAATAGCTGGGTTGGTCCATATTTGACCCAAATTTGGGTTAAAACAACCCAGCATTTTTAGAGTGTAAAGTAATCTTGACTAACTATATCATTTGAAAGCTTATATTTAGTGGCTGTTTTTCAAAAGAAACGACAGAACAATAGATAAACAGTGACAGAATCTTCATTTGTGATATGGTGCCAATCTATAAATAGTGGCAAGCCAAACTATAAAATGTGTTGAAAATAGTCTTGGCAAACATTTAGCTAGTTTAAAGATGCATGTTCGCATGTGGTGATCATCACGTGTCTCTTTCTAGACGGTTGTGTGAAACTATTCCCTTGAGATCTGTCTCGGGCGACAAGCCTGCAGTGACCTTAACTGCACCTTCACTGCATTAAACCTAGACTGAAAACAGTGATCACACACATCCCACCAGAACATCACCAGAACATCTGGCCGCACAAAACACACAGAACTCTGACAGCCTCAAGCAAGCAATTTCAGAGAAAGCAGCAGAGGTCAAGAGACATTCTCAAAGCCATGTTCACAGGCAGACCACTGCTCTGTTTACACTGGACCATCCGGAAACGTCGAGCCAGATCACTGTGATCAGTGATCACTCTCAAAGATGAAAACCCACGGTGGATACAGTCAAACCAAAGATTATTCAGACACCAGATATAATTTTTGATATATTTTTTTACTAGTGTGTGCAGGACACTATAGTTCATTTATGCAAGTGAGAATAGCAAAATAAATTGTAACATATTAAAAATCCTTCATTCAGTGACTACCAGTAAAACCAAAACTGACTCCTCCACTTTGAGCTGATCAAATGTGTTATAACAATATCTAATTGTGTAGTTAATTTTAACAGCTGCCAAATATTCAACATAATTCATGTGTGAGAGTCGGGCAAAACCAGTCAAATATCCCCTGAGTTCTGCTCATATTTATCACCATTTTCTAAACTATAACCTGTGAGAAATGCTGAAGGTGTGTGAAAAAGGTTGATTGGGCTGTAAATGCCTGGAGAAAACTGTGAGTGTGTGAGGTCCAGATCAATGGGAGGAGATCGTTCAAATGCGAACCAGCAATGCCAGTCGGTCCACAGTGGAATTACAGAGCGAGTGCCAACCCTCTGGCATTTCGTCAAAAAATCACTGGCTTATTCAGGATCTACGTTCATCAGATGCACTGCCAATTAACAGTATTATAAGGCAGGCGGAGAGAAATGCAATCAAGCCCCAGCAAAACATTAATGATTGTCACTCGCAATGCTCAGGCCAACATACAGCCCAACCAAAAACTATTCAGACACCAGAAATTATTCTGGATTTTTGTACTAGTGAGAATAGCAAAAAAAAGTAGACTGTGACATGACATATAATATGCAAATATTCTTCTACCAATAACATCTATAATCATTTGCGACCAAGCTGATCATGTGTGTTTTCTGTAATTGCTAAAGCTCTTTGTACACACATATTGTTAATAGTTTGAGCTAAACTGGTATTATCCAATTGTGTAGTTGAATTTAACAGCTATTCAACCAAATTCATTTGTGAGACGTCTGATTTGATAAATGTTCTTATCATATTTGATCACCATTTTAGCAAATAAACTGTGGTAATGTGAGAAATGTTGAAGGTGTCTGCATCAAAGTTTACTTTGACTACATATTCCATCCTTGTCTTCGATTCTGATGTGTGAAAGCCAAAGCAAAACCATCCAGGATTGCATGAGTGCACATTCCAGCAAGCGAGCCAAGTGTGTGTCCAGAGCCTGATTTACAGTGTCTGCGTGTCGAGCGGCTCCAGAAGCACCTGGTCACGGTAAGCAGAAGCAGGACACATTTTGACTTCGGACACAAGAAATGTCTGGGTTACAGACAAAATGGGTGCCTTTCAGGATTGCAGTCTTCCTTAGGTTTAGCTCAATGCACATTTACAAATTCATCAACTGGCATTCATCAACAACGTTTAATCAATCTTAAAACTGCTAGTCTGAGATCCTCACTGTGAGGAAAAGCCTTTACCAAGTTAGTGGTTTTATGGCAGGATTTATAGTTGAGTCTGTGACTGCTGAAGTTTTATACCATTCATTTCACAAGGAAAAACTATCAAGCTTATAGTATTTTGGTAACATTTTACAATACGGTTCATAAGTTAACTACCTTGGTTAACATGAACAATACTTCTACAACATTAATTCATCTTAGTTAATATTAATTTCAACATTTACTAATACACATTATCAAAATCAAAGGGTGTATTTGTTAACATTAAAATGCACTGTGAACTAACAAAAACACACAATGAACAGCTGGACTAACATTAACAACGATTAATAAATATTGTAACAATTGCTCATTGTTTCATTAACTAATAAATAAAATGTAAATAATATGTAAATTGTTACCAGTATTTTGGATTATCGTTCATGTTTACTTCAACTATATTCCTATATGTCACATAATGACCATTCGGTGCATTACTAATGCAAATCAACAATGCGAAAGTGAGTTAAAAAAACACTGCTGTGATTCACGAAACTGATCCGTGACACATTACATCATCAAGACGATTCATTTCCAATCGTTTGACTCACAGAAACGCATGAATCATCTCACAGAATCACTGTTTCACTGCTTACTTTATAACGTGGCTGATCAACTAACTAACAACCCCCCAGAAACCGTATTGTTCTCGGTTGAAACTCACCCTTTCCCCCGAAAGAAAGGCTGTCAAGCCGAGGGTTAATATCATCCAAACGTTCCTCATAATTCCTTAGTCTTCGCTTGAGAAAAGCGAAAATAGCGTCTGTTTCCACTTTTGGAGAAACTCTTCCCTCTCTCTCTTTCTCTCTCGTTCAATCTCGCTCTCTCTCTCACAGGACTCAAATCCCCGCGGATACGTGTTGCTTTTTGCCTTGCTTATTCCTCCGCGCACTTCTGTACACTAAAATAGGTCGCTTTCGGTGTGTTTCGTCGAGTCTTGCGTTCAAAGATGCACTCGTCTCGTAAAGGTGAGAGTATCGTGAGGTCTCTCGGCCATATGTCTGAAGAAGAAGGAGAAGCTCTGCTCTGCTGTTGTCGAGCCACCCGCAGGACTGAGAGGAAAACACGGGTCAAACTGAGGGAGAGCGAGCAATGATTGACAGAGAGCGCGACCGTACGGACGCGCGCGCGCGTGCGCGGGTGTGAAGAAGCAACGAGCTTTAATTACTCTAAACTTCAGTTTTGTTTTCCAACATTTGTTTTTTTAAGAATCCATGTCTTATTTAGATGCTAAATGTAATGATTTTAATGGAAGCATGTTATTATTCTTTCTAATTATTCAGATGCATGTGATTATGGAAAACATTTTGAGTATGAAATGTATACATTTGACCTACTAGTTATTTGTGTTCTAGATCGGATTTTTTAAAAGAACAGGTTTAACCGGTTCCCCAACGGACTGAATCGGTTCAACAACTCTAATCCTCATTAAACCGTGCCATGAATGGATGGATTTCCCATTAAAACATACATTGCAGCCTATTTTAAAACAAAGTTTAGCAACAATTGTTTTCTGATGGCGCTATAGTGAGTGTGACCTGCTGGCATCTAAATGCATTCTCAATGCAATGTCTCCCCCTAACGGACGAATGCGAGAGAGTTCAAAATAACTGTTTTGGATTTCTTAACCTTCTCTGTGTCACTGTGTGGCCATGGTCTATATTTACTAGCCATAATCTACGAAAAAAAAAAATTCAACTAGTTTTTGTAACAATGCAATGCATCTGATGGTATTATGATGGAGTAAATCGCTTTTATTTAACTCGATTTGCTTCCAGATCTTCAGCGCATGCCGAAGTTAAGGGTCAAACCCCTGTGCGCATGCGCAGTTCCACTCTTCTCACTTCCCAAACCACCTGGATTATTAGTGTGATAGATCTTTATCCATGTAGGCAAATTTGTATACTAGGTTTAATATTTTCAATTAGCCTATTGTTTTTCCCCATTTCATCCCTAACATTAGAATGCTTTCCTTGCTCTTATGAGGGACAGTTCACCCACAAACTCAATATTGTTATTAGTTCACCCAAAAATGAAAATTCTGTTATTAATTACTCACCATCAAGTTTTTACGAACTGGTATTTATTTATTTCTTCTGTTGAACATAAAGGAATGTTGGTCACCAAACAGTTTCTGGTCCCCATTGACTTCTATGGAAGAGGGGGGGAAAAACAAGGTTTTCCCAGAATCCCAAAGCTGAAACAAGAGAGTTCACACAATCAGATAACAACACAAAATAGACGCATACTTTGCTTTTTCAGTACAGTATTGTAAATAATTCAAGCTTTATCTGCTGTTTCTCCTCCTCTGAGTCCCAGTGTTCAGTCGAGGGCAGTTTATGATGTCTGAGGAACAGGGAACTCTGGGTAATGACACTGGTTGGGGTTAAATGTCAGGAGACAGAGAGTGAGACTATGAAAGGAAAGATGGGCCAGTAAATCTTCACTTGCAGTTGCTTGAAGTCGATCATGTTGCTTGCTGCGACACACGACAAAGACGACAGCACCTTTAAAACATCTTCATTAAACACATGGAGCTTCTCTCTCGCTCTAACACTAATTATAAACATACTGTATACCGTATGATTCAGGATTAGACAAACACACTCACTCATTATATACATGTGAACTAAAACACTGACAGTGCACCTTTAATATGCTTAAATAATAAAGGCCTAAAGGTGCATTGGTCAAGCATAAATATGTCAAAACTGTTTGTTTGTTTTTGTTTTGTTTTTGTTTTTTTAATCTGGTGCATTGGTCAAGCATAAATATGTGTCAAAACTGTTTTTTTTTTTTTTTTTTAATCTGGGTTCCTTATTATTCTTTGGTGTTTAAAGTATTATATTATCTTTCCATAAATTAATTTTCAGGCTTCTTTAAAAATAAGAAGTTTATATATATATATCTATATATATATATATATATATATAAACTTGTAACCAAACAACATTTAATAAAAATAATAAAATATTTTGATTAAAACAAAATGTTAAATATTGTTAAATGAAATATGAATATTGAATAAAATAAAATAATATGAAATAATGTTCATTGTTGTTATTATTATTTCCATAAATTGATGTATTGGATTCTTTAAAATAGATTAAAAATAATTATTTATTTATTTATTTATTTATAACATAAAAATAATAAAATGGTATATATAAATAAATCAAACCATATTTAATACAAAATCAGAAAACATTAATATACATTATAGGCCTATATTAGATTATATATAATATACAAATATTCAAATACATCAATTTAAAAGTTTAACGCTTATGTGAATAAGTCAAACGTTTTGCTCAAAAATCATAAAACTTGATAACGTTGGCATAAATCAGGCTTATTGTTTCCTCAAACACGTTCTCATTATCATCATTACAATCTATTTGTGCTGTATGCATCATAACACATAATACATGTACAGTAGAAATACAGTATGATATTGCTTGTTTACAGTAATGTTTGTTTTTAATACTGTGAACTCAGCTTTTTTTTTTTTTTTTACTTTACTAAACATGCCAGCAAAGTGCAATACATTTTACAAGACATTTCTAAGAGTGCCGTTATACAAGAGACGTCCTGGTGTGAAATGCTAAAAGTAATGCAATTATGCATAATTTCACACTGAAATGTTTAGCAGTGCACGTTTCTGCCTCTTTAAAGGATGATATGGTGTGTTAGGCTGCTGAGAGCTTCCACACACACTTCTTAATCGTGCCGCTTCAGTAATTAAGCGCTGCTCCTTTAATAATTTCATGCTTTTCATAAGGCTTAGTTCATGCTCCAAATGCAAACTCATGAGAGACTTTGGTCTTTCATCTCAAAGAAGCGAGAGAAGGTTGGCAGAAACACATACAGATATTTCCCTCTGACAATATTCTGCCAAAAAATAATTTGCAATCACAGAGATGCACTAATAGAAATTTTATTTTTGACTCGTAAGAAGCTGATATATTAGACAATAAAGAGGAAGAAATTAAAATGCAAAGGTATTCTTCAAACAGTATTAAAATAAAAAATGCTGTGCAATGATTAATCACAACCAAAATAAAAGTTTGTGTTTACATAATATAAGTGTGTGTACTGTGTATAATTATTTTGTATAAATACACACACATGCATGTTGTATATATTTAAGATTTTTTTATTTATATATTAAATATTTTATATTTATATGTTATATATATATATATATATATATATATATATATATATAGTATACAATATTTCTTATATACATGAATGCGTTGTGTGTTTATATATACACAAAATAATTATACACAGTGCAGTGAGTGCACACACATATCATAACATCATTTAAGAAGCTGATATAAAGAGTAAGAAATGAAAATGGATACAAAATTTTGTGTTTATAATATGTAACACAAACTTTTATTTTGGACACGATTAATCGTTGCCCATGCAAATAAAGGCGATTTATCAGCGATGGAAATCCTCTGTTCTCCTGCCACAACACGTGATGCATATTAAACCAGTTATGAGGAAAAGCCCTGTTTTCATGGTTCATATTGTTTTCATTAAAGCAAATTGACATTTAACATCCCGAATTGCCTTTTGTGAGTGTTTTATTGAGCCAGAGTCTCACAGTATTCCTTTGAAAAGTCAAACTGAGTAAATCAAGGTCTCGGAATAATGCATCAAAGTCCTTCATAATGACCACCGTGCAGAAAATGAAGTTATTAGCCATGATTATCTCCTGATGTCTGCTGATGTTCAAAAAAAAATGCTTTCTGAATGCTCTCGACGAAGCATTCGGTTTTTCTTCTCTTTCTTTAAACTGCAAACAAATGATAGGCCTACTGATTTTGTATGTGCAAAAAAAAAAAATAAATAATAGACTTGCAAAACCAAAGCAACAGAGAATGTTAAAAAACAACATTACAGTCGTTTACAGTGAACTCCAGGCTTAAAGGAGAACTCCGGCGAACAATTAACCTTCGGTCTAATAAAACATCGGTACCTAGTCAATCGTTCTCTGAGTTTTGTTTTCATGATAATCGAATGTAAAGAGTTTTATCTCTAAAAACTGTTTAGCGTATAATGCTAGTAATGGGGGCATTGAGTAAGTAAAAAGAAATCGCTAGTTTATACCACTAACAAGGCTCAAAATAGCCCCACACTCACACAGTAACATAATGAGGCTCCATACATACAAAACGAAGCATTGAGAACTTTGTAAGTGTACAGACCGTTTAATAAGAAGATACTTTATGAAGACAGTTCACTTCGCGTATACAGGCAGAAGCCATCTTAAAAAATAGTCTCGATAAGTCGATCCCCGAACGCCGTTCATACAGTTCAGAAGTTCGTTGAACTTCATAGTTCAGATCACTCCCCAGTAAACAAATTTAGGTTCTGGGAACGTTCTGGGAACGTTAGTTTTTGGTTCCCAGAACGTTCCTAGAACTTTCCCTTAAGGTTAAGGGAACGTTGCAGGAACATTCTCCCTACGTTATAAAAATGGAACCTAAAAATAACCTACATGGAACGTTCCTATAACGTTCTTGTTGGTTCCCAAAAAATAACCTCATGGGACCATTCGGGAACGTTAGGGGAACGTTCTGTGTTTGCTGGGCAGCACGACGTTCGTGGTTTGACTTATCGAGACTATTTTTTAAGATGGCTCCTGTCTGTATACGCGAAGTGAACTGTCTTCATAAAGTATCTTCTTATTAAACGGTCTGTACTGACTAAGTCCTAAACAAAGTCTAGTACTGGTTGCTGATTTCGTGGATTTAAGTTTAGACATGTGCGTGTGATCTTACACGTAAAATAAAGACGGAGAGCGTTCATTAATGTTATTATTATCTAGCAATTTATTTTCCTGCATATCATACAGCGGCAATATCTTAACTCATAATATAACATACAACACACCGTATCATTTACCCCAAGCGCAAGACCATGGGCACAGTCGAAAACTGTTTGCTTCTCAATCAGCGACACCTGTGTCTGAGTTACCTCCAAATTAAAAGACTTACACGGGCTGACCCGAGATCAGCTGTGCCATAAAGCACATACAGCCCCCTAGTGGCACAGCACAAAATTG